GAGGCAGCTGATCAATGTTTCTCATCGATGTTTCTGGCTCTCTATCTCTCTCCGTTTCTCTCTGTCAAAAATCAATAAAATATATATATTTTTTAAAAAAGCCGGAACCGGTTTGGCTCAGTGGATAGAGCGTCGGCCTGCGGACTGAAAGGTCCCAGGTTCGATTCCGGTCAAGGGCATGTACCTTGGTTGTGGGCACATGCCCAGTAGGAGATGTGTAGGAGGCAGCTGATCGATGTTTCTCATCGATGTTTCTGGCTCTCTATCTCTCTCCGTTTCTCTCTGTCAAAAATCAATAAAATATATATATTTTTTAAAAAAGCCGGAACCGGTTTGGCTCAGTGGATAGAGCGTCGGCCTGCGGACTGAAAGGTCCCAGGTTCGATTCCGGTCAAGGGCATGTACCTTGGTTGTGGGCACATGCCCAGTAGGAGATGTGTAGGAGGCAGCTGATCGATGTTTCTCATCGATGTTTCTGGCTCTCTATCTCTCTCCGTTTCTCTCTGTCAAAAATCAATAAAATATATATATTTTTTAAAAAAGCCGGAACCGGTTTGGCTCAGTGGATAGAGCGTCGGCCTGCGGACTGAAAGGTCCCAGGTTCGATTCCGGTCAAGGGCATGTACCTTGGTTGTGGGCACATGCCCAGTAGGAGATGTGTAGGAGGCAGCTGATCGATGTTTCTCATCGATGTTTCTGGCTCTCTATCTCTCTCCGTTTCTCTCTGTCAAAAATCAATAAAATATATATATTTTTTAAAAAAGCCGGAACCGGTTTGGCTCAGTGGATAGAGCGTCGGCCTGCGGACTGAAAGGTCCCAGGTTCGATTCCGGTCAAGGGCATGTACCTTGGTTGTGGGCACATGCCCAGTAGGAGATGTGTAGGAGGCAGCTGATCGATGTTTCTCATCGATGTTTCTGGCTCTCTATCTCTCTCCGTTTCTCTCTGTCAAAAATCAATAAAATATATATATTTTTAAAAAGTGGTAAAATAGAACTATCCTATACAATAAAAGGCTAATATGCAAATCGACCAAACGGTGGAACGACCGGTTGCTATAATGCGCACTGACCACCAGGGGGCAAGTAGTCGATGCAGGAGCTGCCCCCTGATGGTCAGTGTGCTCTAACTGGGGGAGTGCCACTCAGCCAGCAGCCGGGCTCATGGCTGGCGAGTGCAGTGGCAGTGGCGGGAGCCTCTCCCACCTCCGCAGTAGCACTAAGGATGTCTGACTGATAGCTTAAGGGAGCGGGCCTTGCCTGGCCAGCGTGGCTCAGTGGTTGAGCATCAACCTGTGAACCAGGCGGTCAGGGTTTGATTCCCGGTCAGGGCACATGCCCAGATTGCGGGCTCCATCCCCAGTGGGGGGTGTGCAGGAGGCAGCTGGTCCATGATTCTCTCTCATCATGGATGTTTCTAGTCTCTCCCTCTCCCGTCAATTCTGAAATCAATAAAAACATATTTTTTAAAAAAGGGGAGTGGGCCTTAAGCCTTCAGTCAGACATCCCCCTGGACTGTGAGAGGGCACAGGCCAGGCTGAGGGACCCTCCCTGAGTGTACAAATTTCGTGCACTGGGCCTCTAGTGTAATCATATTTGGGAGGTACTCAGCAACACATATACTAATAATATTTGGGGGGCACATAAGCAGTAAAGGACAAGGGTGGATCTAAGATTTTTCACTGTATACCTTTTTAGAAAATTATTTTTATTTTTCTTAGGGACAGAGATTATGAACATAAATACTACACAAAAAAATTCTATGAGATTAAAAAAATAATGAGCCCTGGCCAGTGTGGCTCAGTTGGTTAGTATAGTCCTTTGCACTGATAGGTCAACAGTTCAATTCCTGGTCAGAGCAAATTCCCAGTGTAGGTTTCATCCTGGTCGAGGTGCATGCTTGAGGCAACTGATTGATGTTTCTCTCTCACATCAATGTTTCTCTCTCTCTCTCTTTTTCTTTCTCTCTCTCTCTCTCTCCCCTGCCCTGAAGGGAGAGGAATAGAGAGTTAGAAACATCGATGAGAGAGAAACATCGATCAGCTGCCTCCTGCACACCTCCTACTGGGGATGTGACCGCAACCAACGTACATGCCCTTGACTGGAATCGAATCTGGGACCTTTCAGTCCGCAGGCCGACGCTCTATCTACTGAGCCAAACCGGTTAGGGCAATAAAAGCATATTTTTAAAACATATTGAACCGATATGCTCCTCAGAATGTAGCCTAAACCTTCCTTGGGGCAGTCTCACAGGCAACAGCTGTGAATAGCCAAACACAGGGCAACATCTATATATATAAAAGCCCAGCGACCGGAATGGCAGAACGACCCGAACAACCAGAACAATTGGTGGCTATGATGCGTACTGTGGAAGCCAACTGGCCTGATCTGGACCTCGATCGCCCCCCTGCTGGCCTGGCCCCGAATGGGCCCCCAACACCCCGATCGGGGGTGGGCCAGCCGGCCAACCTCTCCCAGCCCCTCCTCCCTCTGGCCTGGCCCAATGGGCATCCATAGGGGTGGGCCGGCCAGACCCCACGGTGCACGAATTCATGCACCAGGCCTCTAGTGCACTATAAGTTTAGTGGCTGCACG